TGTGTCAGAAATACCAACCAACCTCACTAAAAAGAGCAGCTACATGACCAGCTTTTTCAAAAAGAAACTTAAAGTGACTCACAAACTACATCAAGGAAAGATAATTCACAAATGGATGTGCACAGGTACGCAGTTTAATGAATTCACTCCGATTTGAAGAGTAACGAAAATTTTAAGTTGGCATCGCTGAAAGGCTCAAGTTTTTCGTAAGGTTTTTAGAGTGTGTATGCGAACCGAAGGCTGTTGGAATTCCAGGACATTCAGAGACGGTCATTTTGGTATGGAACGAAGAAGTAAGGGCTAGTACTTCGTGGGACATGTTTTCAGCGGACATTTCTTCGAAGTTCCGAGCTGCACAGGTAACAGGTGCATGTTTTATTGTCACTTCGCATGACACTGGCTCACGCGTAAAGCATTTCACGACATCATGACGGGCTGAATTTTATGGCGCAGTATAAAAGGATCACTACATTCGCGACACTACATTCGTTCGGCAAAATGAAGTTCGTCCTGTCTGTTTTCCTCGCGGTTGCCATCTGTTTGGTGGTAAGTTCATCGCCAGAGTTCCCGAAAGGAAAAAACAACTAGGGTCAGTGTGGAGAAGACCAAACACACCACCAGCATAAGTTTATGATACCCCAGAACGAGATTTTTTTCAGAAGTAATACAAACGCACTTGTAGGGTATTTCCGAGGCCAATTTAACACATGCCCAATGCCTGTTTCTCGCACACAAAACCTATGTCTGTTTGTAGCCAGTGGACTCCTCGAGTCATGCGCTTACAAGCATGCGCTTCGCGCGAACTTGCCTAAGCACGCACTTCGCAGTGTGTACACTGTGGGAAAAAACCACAGTAAATACTGTAGTGATTAGTGCACCTGTCACTGTAATTCAGAGTACAGGATTTACTGTACCTTTTTACAGGACCTACTGTACTTTGTACGGGATTTACTGTACCACAGGAGTGGAGTACGGAATATCCTGTATCAGGTACAGTAAATCCTGTGTTCTGAACTACAGAAGATCCCGGCGAAAAAATTAACGGGATTCACTGTGGTTTATTTGCACAGAGTACTTCAATCACTGTGCGATAAAACCACAGTGAATCCTGATTATTTTTTGCCACGATTTACTGTAGTTCAGAATACAGGAATAGGGTACTTTCGTGAATCCTGAACCGGAAGCAAGCAGACCAGCAGACGCCAAATTGGCCGGAAACTAACCTCTCTTCGGATCCAAAACTATAGCCGAGCTGTACAAATATTGCTCGCGAAACACACATGCACTGCAAACAAGTATCAAACTACTGTTTATGTTCAAGTGGGGCCGATACGTTTGACGAACGTCTCTTTCCCATGTCAAGTTTGGATCTACTTCCGCCAACATGGCGTCTGTGTGCTTCCGGTTCAGGGATCTACGAAAGTACCCTATTACTGAACCTGGCTAGAATTTACTGTACCTTCCCGTTCAAAGTACAGTAAATCCTGTAAAAAAGTACAGAAGATCCTGTTGAAAAGAACAGTAAATCCTGTACTCTGAACTACAGCGACAGCTGTACTAATCGTCACAGAATTTACTGTAGTTTTTTCGCAGTGATGAATACACACAATGAGTACGTACGTAGGTTTTGAGTGCGGTTTGACCTTTAGATTTCGAATCTTTGTGAGATTTTTTAATAAAAAATACGGGGAGTGTCGATGGAGTATCAAGCATATATGGAACCCGCAAATGGTTTAACTCCAGGATCCATCTACACGAATCACTATAAATCCGGGCATGTAACCGAGATTGACTTCTGCAGGCTACACTCGCAGACTCGTACTGAGTTTTTGTTTATTATTGTATTGACGATTGTGCGCATTAATAAGCGTATTAGCATTTTTATTCACTGAAAATCAAATAGTGATACATCTCACTCTCTGAGGGGTGAGACATAACTGTCTCACCGAAAAAAGGGTGATACTAAACTTTATCACCGAAAAAATGGTCGTACACGCATGTATCACCGAAAAAAAGGTCGTACACAAATGTATCACCGGAATAAAGGTCGTACACAAATGTATCACCGGAAAAAAGGTCGTACACAACTGTATCACCGAACAAAGTGTGATACTTTCTCAGGAAAACCAGTGCCAATCTTGCTGATATCTGACCTTTTTTTCGGTGATACATTTGTGTACGACCTTTTTTTCGGTGATACATTTTGTATCGCCGAAATTTGGTGACATGTCTCACCCTTTGAATTTCAGTGTTTATTTTACTAACAATATTCAGTTTCGTCCTGAAAAATCTTTTCAGCTTCATAACAAAATTCCATTGATGCGCAGAAACATCAATGAATATTGATAAAATGTCGATTGAAGGGCAAGGGTGTATAGAAGTTTTAAACAGTCAAAACTTGCTTCAAGTATTAATTGTCGTATTTCTTTTTTTTTTGCAGGCAGTAAATGCTGCCCCTTTGCTAGACGGGATAGTGAAACCAGTTACTGGTTTGTTGGGCGGTTTGACTAGCGGTTTGAGTGGCGGTGGTGGTTTGTTGGGCCACTAGAAGACAGCAGCTTCATCTGCGCCGATGATGTTTGGTTTTGGAGCTCTTCTTCAACAAAGGCGCGCCGTCAAGCTTCATTAAAGTGAAAACTTGAGAAAACCTTCGAAAATTGAGTGCTGTTTAAGCCCGTTCGCTATCACTTCCAGTTTAAGACCACGAAACCTGAGAAGTTCGACTGGTCGCTCACCCACATTGTCTGCAGAATATAAGGTTGAAATGAGGTATTATACCGACTCGGTTTAAATGATGAACGGTGCCAGACAAAGTACTTACAGCATTTGTAAGCTTTCAAAGGAACCACTCTAAAAATAAAGCTTCGTAAATTTCATAATCTGGATTTGAGGTTAATTGTAGAACAATGGACCTTAAATTTCATATCCAAAAAGTTCTTAAATTTCATATCTTGCTGTTCTAAGCTTTCAGAAGTGGTTTATGAAACGTAAGAACTAGTTGATTAATTTTCAGAATCAATGGGTTTTGACAACTCACATTTGGTTCTGAATCTCTACAACCAATATTATGAAACATGATAATAGTTTCATTACTGCCCACAAAATGTGCCGTTAAAACATATCCCTTTCTTAATGAATATGTTACAAATAATGAAATCTCAGAAATCAATTATATCTTTTCACACTCAGTATTATCGCAAATCACTGCAGCTAGCCAACGTAGTGCAGCACTTCTGCAAAACTTGAGTCGACGCTGTAAACAGTTAGAGGCGCAGCAGTGCATAAGGTCCGGATGCACTTTAGGGAAACTCGGTCGACACGCAGAAACTACTTTGGGAACGAGGATGAAAGAGGAGAACCGAATTGATATAATACGCCACCCACACGTTCATCGCCCGTCCCTGCAGTTAAGAAGACGGAACTCAGTAACACCGCTTTTGGCGAAAACAAGTTCTGCTTCCGAGGGTCGCGAAAATAGCTTGTAACTCTTGAACACGAGTGGTGGCTGTTCGACACCACAAGCAACACTTAACTGCACTCTACGCACTACGCACACTAACAGTACAGCGAAACAAAATTGATGACTCGAACTTGCGGTGACGCGGACGCGGACTGGATACGATGTGCACAGCACTGGAGACAAAGACACACTAAAAGTGACGCAGTGTCGCCGAAATCCCTAGTGGCCGAGGGATTACGCGGCATACAGGACATGAGCTCCATCCCGTTCGAGCCCCGATGGTCTGAGCCCCGACCTGAGCCCGGGTTGAGCCCCGACCCAAGCCCCAATTTCCAGAGCCCGGATTGAGCTCCGACCTGAGTCCCGTTTGAGCCCCACTCCCACCGCGCGAAAGAACTCTATATCTGCCTAGTGATCATAATTTGAGCCATTCTGATACACCCTCGTTGCTGTTGAGTGAGTTCTTCGCTACATCACTCAATACTACTACTGGCATGGCTCCGAAACCAAGTCTGTGCCCAAGCTGAAATTTTACAGTTTTTAAGACCAACGTAGGACACCCCCCCATAATTTTGGGGGATTTTTTTTTTCAAAAATACATTTTAGGTTAAAATTTTTCGAAACATTTAAAACTATTGTTCTTATAGTCCGTAAAAAGCGTGTAAGTTTTCAAGTGGGTTTGACGAAGTGCAGTCGTGTTGTGGATAATCCATCATCATCAGCGCTGCGATTCCCTAAATAGGACGACAATACCATTACAAAAATGTCACAAAAGTGTTGACGATTTATTACCATATGACACATGAGCAGATATTACCATACAAACAACCATAGCCATTCATAAACTTACGGCAGATAATTGACAATTTATTTCCAACACTACTCCTCATTTTTAAAAAATGAAGAAAAAGTTAAACAAAATATTAAATGAAACTTGATGATGAGGACACCCACTGCGTTTCCAAGAATGCCGGGCTACACTCTCGCTCTCAAAGCAGAAAAGAAAAAGAAACTCAAGATCATCTAATGGTCACACTAAATGTTACGTACAATTTTGTACGAAACAACATTTTTTCTGCACACGAAATTTTCGTACAATTTCCGTACGAAAAACTGCACATTTTCGCCATTTGTGTACAAAATTGTGCAAAATTTTGTACAAATTTGCACGAAAAGTTCGTGTGCCCAAAAAACGGTGATGTCTCGTACAAAATTTGTACACAAACATTTAGTGTGTGCAGGACACAGGAATGGCATTCACTTCGCTTCCAAGTGTTCCGGGCTGCACTTCGTACACACTCCGCAACAAAGTCAGCAGGCGCAAATCATTGATAATCACTCCGTAATTATTCGTAATCTTAGTAATCGTGTCGTAATCGTGGAAATCACGGTAATCACTTGGTAATCACACAGTAATCACTCGGAAAACATGGTAATCGCTCGGTAATCAGGAAGTAGTCACGCGGTAATCACTTCGAGCAGGTACAGCTACGACCGCAACAACGCATGCTGCCGTGCCAGTCCACGGGATGGGGGCAGGGGAGGGGGGCCTGCTGAGTCAGTCACGAGACGGCCTGCTGCGGAACTGAGAAGCTGACGTCACGAAGGGCAGCCTTTGAAGGGGACCCTTTGAAAGAGTTGTTTTTGCGCCGCCTGGTTTTATCACCAGGCTACTGTTTCAAGCGGCGTCGCCGGCCGCCCCTGGGGGGAAGGGGAGCACGACGGCGAATTCCAGAACGGGACGGCTCCTCGGAGAACGTGTCACGAGTCGCGGCGCGGGTCGTCCAGTGCAGTCACGGCCTCCAACCGTGCACCATCACGCGTGCGGACCCACAGCCCGTCAGCGGAAGTGCGGCGCGATCGTTCCTTCGGTGGCGCGTTCGGCGGAGAGCAGTGCTGTGTCCTTGGCTTGACCGCCCACCAGAAGTCTAAAGACGTGCTCGCCTGCCTCCTCAACCCCGCCGAGTGCCTAGGCTGCACCCTGCGTACTGCGTTACCGCGAGGTAAAGTAATTGGGGCAGTTTGCTCCTACTTCAGTGGTTTCATATTAAATTTTAAATAAACACGCCGTGCCGAGTCCCGTGGCCTGCGCTGGGGACCCTCTCTCTGTGAGAGATGCGCACGCTCGACTGCTCGAGTAAACCGGGCGATTTTCGCCCCGTGCGAGACTAGGAGGACTGCAAGGCAAAGTGTGTTGTTGATGTTAAGACTAACGGGGCGTGCCAACAGTAGTAACTTACTGTTTAGCTTCACACGCCCAGGTTTCGTGTGTTCGTGGACGTATGTTCGTAGCTCGTACACAGTTCGTTTGCCCGCATCGGCGGCTGCAATGCACCAGGAAGTCCCTTTCTTCCGGTTAACGCGCTGCCTGCGATCGCTTCGTGTTACGCCAGCAGATATCTTCCGTGCGATAGAGAGATCTTTGTTTTTTCGGCGCACCTTTCTTTCGTCCGTGCGTTGCGTTTTAATAGAGCATTTTAGTCGTGGCCGAGTGAGAACAAAGAAGAATCACTTAAGATAACCTTTTGGAACTTTTACTTTAAATATTTAAGACTCTTTGCTTGGTAGAAGTCAGTGAGAATATTTTAAAGTAAATACGCCATATCTTCAGTGAACATATGCACTCCAAATGCCCTAAAGGAGTCTTTCGTCATTCTTCTTGTTCTTCACTCGGCCACGACTAGAGCGGTTTGTTAGCGCCCTTAAGTCGCCCTTTCATGCGGACCCACCCGTCCCGAGTCGATCTAACTTCATGAGTTAGCAACCGTAAACGAAATTCATTTTTAAATTATCTCTTAATCTCCAGAGTGCGTGTTACGATCAAGGTTCTGTTTCCGGGCATCAGGTACTAAAACTAGTCTTTCCCTATATTTTGTTGGTGTTCCCTTAAATGTCTTCCACGCGTACGTGGCCTCCTTTTCGTGGCCATTTTTACATTTTATCACATTTGCTACAAGGCTTTTGAGATTTTGTGAAATCGGAGTCTGTGAATAGAAAATGGCCAATGACTAGAGATATGTAGGGTAGCCTTAAAACGCCAATTGCCGGTTCAAAACTGTTCTATCCCAAGCCAGGAAAGACCCCTACTGAATCGTACATTTCGTAGAATAGACGTGAAAATGAATTTTGCTATCGGTTGCCAACCCTGGTTGTACTTTCATTTCTTTAGTGCATGGTCGTGCTCAGACGCGCCAGACTGTCTTCCTTGGCATGAAACTTTTATGACTTAATTTTTCTATGGTTTTTCTTTTACAGGGCACGTTTTTGTTGATTTTTTGCATTGGAGGTTCTGACGATGTCTAGCAACTCGTCGGCTAATGGTGAGTTCCTTACTACTGTTTGAGATCACTGCTTCACGGTTGTGGAACATCTCTAAGGGAGTCCTACCCTGAGTTCCAGGTGCGAGAGGTATGCACTTGCGTAAATCCTGCCTCTCCACGCACCAAATTACTATGTAGGTTTTTCTGCGCGTCAATGCACGAAATTTAACATGCACTTCGTAACGCACAAATTTGTGCGCAACAATGCACGATTTTCTGCATGCTTGCGCACGAAATCGTGCATCGTCGCGCACAAATTCGTGCGTTACGAAGTGCATGTTTAATTTCGTGCAGTGGCGCGCAGAAAAACCGGCATAGTAATTCAGTGTGCCGTTCACGTGTACACACTCATTCCAGGAAACGACTGTGACAAAATGTCACGTTCCTGAGTATTGTGCCACATTCGTTTGGATGTTTCGGAATTAGGGCGATTAGACAAACTCGTCCAATAGACCCTTTCAGTCATCGCCGAGTGAAGAACCAAAGTCCAAAAAAAATTCTGGAACCAGCAGCGCGTCATCTAGCGGCGGTTACTGTAAACTGTCGAAAGCTGAACCCTGATTGGTCACAAGCGTAGGTCTGGACGAAGTTCACAACAGTCGCCACCAGGTGGCGCGGAACTGGTTCCTGTTTTTTATTTGATTACTTTTGTTCTGCACACGGTGACGACTGAAAGGGTCTATTCCAATACGGTCGTGCTCCGCAGGTGAAGACGCGGGGCCGTGCGCGGTGTGCGGTGCGCAGGGACGAGCGTGCGCGCGGTGCCGCGTAGACTTCTACTGCGGCAAGGACCACCAGCTGCAGGACTGGCCTCGCCACAAGCTGGGCTGCAGCTTCCTCGAGGTGAGTCCGCAGGCAGCTGCTGCAGCAGACATTCCGAGAGACGTTTTCGTCGCACCGACCCTCTCGCACTCAGGGGACGTCCCGTATAGGTGTGTGTGTGTGTGTGTGTGTGTGTGTGAGTGTGTGTGTGTGTGTGAGAGAGAGAGAGAGAGAGAGAGAGAGAGAGAGGGCGAGCGACAGAAACGACTCACGGAATCAGCCTGCAGTTGCGCGCCTCATCTAAAATTTACCCGCGGGAACGCATCAAAGCGGCTCCAAGTTCTTGAAGTTGAAGCCGAATCCAATCTGACAATATTTAGGGGGCTTCAAAAGGTTAACTGTCTAGTGGCATGATTGATGCCTAAGGATGCCTTTCAGATGCATTACTTTAAGTCTTGAGGTAGTTCGAGCGACCATGCTATAGTTAATAGAAAGAGTTGAAAATTTGACAGTAGGCTCCTAAGATAGTGATCTAACCACCTGCAAAGTTTCAAACCCCGTCACCGGGCAAAATCAGTGTTAATCCGCGATTAAAAGTAGCCGAAAATAGCATTGCCGCTTATGGGAGTAGGGTTATGTTGCCCATTCGAACCTGGTATATTTCGTTTTTAAAATGCTTGGAGTAAAGGCAAACTGATAAAAAGCATACATATAATCGTATTCCTAGTTACTTCATGAAATGAAAGAGAGAAAATAGCGCGTCACCGGACTTATTTGAGAGTAAAGACATAAAAACGCGGTTTTAGCAGCCGACACTGGAGTCAAGTGCACAACTAAATCAAAAGTTTAAATTCATTTCTTCGCCTTGCCGCTGCCTAGATGGTCCCCAAAGAATTGAATTCTAAGTTAAAAATAGAATGGGGCCTTTATATAATTTTTTTATGGTCTGGAAACCAAATTTTAAAATTTCAACTCTCGCTTGAAAAATCCTTTGTCGCTTTTACCCCTTCGCAATTGCACTTGTCATTCATGCAGCAAAGCAAGAGGGTGAAAGGCGTAAGAAGGTGGTGCCCCAAACAACTGAAATTTTAAGCTTGGGGTTTCTTGTGATATTCCGGTCGATACTGGGTCATTATAAAGTTTTATTTAGTCACTACTAATGGGTGGGGACTAATAGAGGTTTTCTAAGCTTCAATTTCGAAAATTCAGTTTTCATGCACGTTTTTCCGAATCTTATCCAATATGTTGAACCGTTGGAGTGCGCCATCATTGGCATTTAATTAATTTTTCGTTAATGCTCAATCGTCTCTGCATTTCAGTGTTGTGTTTTGTTTTCCATAGTGCTCAATTGTGTCTGCATTTCAATGTTTGTGGAGGTTGTACAACATACCCATGACACGAGGGTGCATGATATAAACTTGGCAGACCTTTCTACTATAGTGATAATTTACCTTTAAATCCAATTTCTGTAACAAAGCCCTTAGTGCTGATCGAACACTGGTAAAACTAAAGCGTAACTCTATGCTTGAGTCAAGCATAAAGTTACGCTTGAAGACATTACGCTTGAAATCAAGCATAGACTAGAAATTCCCCCATGCATTTAGATAGGGGGAATCTTGGCGGATGAGCCTGTTACGCTTGATTTCAAGCGTAACCTGATTAGTACGCTTGAAAAACAGTGGGTAATGCTACGCTTTAGTTTTACCAGTGAACTGGCTTTTCCTTACAGGTGCGCAGTGACCCGTTGCTAGGACGCCACTTCGTGGCCGCCAAGGCCATCCCCGCCGGCACGGTGTTGATGCGCGAGACTCCCCTTGTCTCCTTCCCGACGTCTTGGGACATCCCTGCTGATGGATCAGTGAGTCTGACAAGTGTTTGCGCTGGAAGAGAGGGTTGGATTTTGGCGTTGGAGAACACGGCAAAACCAACGTCCGGGTTTCCCAGGCGCACCCTGGAAAAATGCCCTGTTTTTCCAGGGTGCGCCTGGGAAACCCGGACGTTGGTTTTGCCGTGAACAGGCACACTCGTGTTCATGTAGAATTTTGTACGAGTAACTTGCATACGAGGAATTTGCATAAACTGCTAGAAAAAACCACAACAAACGTACACAAACTTCTAGCAAGTTTTTTTTTTATCAGGCATTTATTGTACTTTCTAAGTACTACAGTTGTTGTATAAAGTACAATTGAACCGGCATGATGAGTGCTGTGCAGTCCAGGTCTCGTTGTGGTGTGGTTTGTACAATTCTCGTTGTACTTTCTACAATCCCTGTTGTACAGTTTTTGTTGTACTTTTGTTCACATGTATTATTCACATTTTTTGCAGTGTAATGTGCATATAAATGCATGCACATGTGAGCACAATTTTCTGCAAACAAATCCATTGCTGATTTTTTTTTTTAAATCAAGTCAACAATAACGAATTTCTCCCTGAAACGGGTTTAAAGGAGTATATTTTCTCGTTGGCCCAAAATAGCTCGTTTTGGAATTTTTCCATTTTTGTTTTGGTTTTGAACTGAATGTGCTGATTTCATTCGATGTATTTGAAGTATTCACTCACCACCATCGAAAGGAGATTTTCAACTGACGAGTGTAAATTTTTGAGATTGGTCCTCGACTCTGAGGTCTTTCTCTCTGTTCCCCTCTAAACTGTAACACTCTCTCTCTCTCTCTCTCTCTCTCTCTCTCTCTCTCTCTCTCTCTCTCTCTCTCTCTCTCTCTCTCTCTCTCTCTGTCTCTGTCTCTCTCTCTCTGAAAATGTAACCCTTTTCCCCCCCCTCCCCCCTGTAACTGTACACTGCCAATCTAAGTGCGAGACAGTCTCGCACTAAATAGTGTGTCAGGCTTACAAGCGTGAGCCACGTTTGTCTCACGCTTCCAAGTGTGAGACATCATTTGTCTCACACTTACAAGTGTGAGACACGGTTTGTCCCACACTTGCTGTCTAGTTTTCTTTGGTTCAATGCCACAGGACCCACGCTTGCAAGTGTAAGACAAACGGTGTCTCACACTTGGAAGCGTGAGACAAACGTGGCTTACGCTTGTAAGCGTGAGACACAGTGTCTCGCACTAAATAGTGTGAGACTGTCTCACACTTGGATAGGCAGTGTAACCCTTTACTCCCCCTCCCTCTCTCTCTGTAACTGTAACCCTTTCCTCCCCCTCCCCCCACTCTCTAACTGTAACTCTCTCCCCCCCCCCCCCCCCCTCTCTCTCTCTCTAACTCCTTTTCCCTCCCTCATGCCTTTCCTGGCTGCAGCCCTTCACCATGTGCGTGGGATGCGGCAGCGAGTCGCGCGATTACTTGGCGGCGTGCGTGGCGCAGTGCAAGTCGTGCGGCTGGCCGGTGTGCAGCGCCGCCTGCGGCCTGCGCGAGGAGCACCAGGCCGAGTGCGGGGCCTTCCAGCGCGCCGGCTTCAAGCTCAAGGCTGGTGAGTGGTGCCAACCGCCGAACGAGTGCTGTGATACAGTCTTCATCAGGGGTGTTCTCACGGCGAAAGTGGGTGCCAGGCGAGGGGTTACCCACTCCGGGAATTGTGTGTACACTCAGTCCGGGAATCGTTCGTAATTTGCTCAAAATTTTATCGAAAATCTTAAAAGTTTCAATGGAGAGGGATATGTAATAGACACAAAACACTCAAAAGGTAAGAAAAATCTTCAAAAACCTCTCCTTTTATGCAAGATTTGTTCAGGAATCGCGGGAATCCGGAATCGTGTGTACGCCCAAGTACCGAGTGGGTAACCCCTCGGTGCCAGGTTTTCTCAGCCATGTGATTCCCGGATAGTTCCTGGGAAAATCAGGAAAGTTCTGTCAATGAACAGGGTTCAAAGTCACATCACGGATCTCACTCTAAATGTTTCCTAAGAAATTTCCCAAAATATCAAGGAAATAGTGCAAGCACAATACAGAAGGAGTTTTTTCTTCGTATTACGAAGGTTTTACTTTGTATCTTGGAATATAAAGGCCAAGAAAAGAAGATTCGTGTTACGAAGAAATATTGCTTCGTATTATGCTTGGGCTGAATTCACTGTAACATACGAATAACATAGGTCATATTTCATTGTGAGACATTGAGAGTGCTGTGTGTTTGCAGGGGACGCGAACCGCCCCGGCGCCGCGAGGCTGGACGCCCTGACGGCCCTGCGGGTGGGCCTGGCCTTCGCGGACACCAAGGTCGGCGCGAGCTTGCGCCGCCTGCCCAGCCGGCTGCCCGATCTACAAGCTGCCCTCAAGGACGCCGTGAGTGACTCACTGTTTGCACTACAAACCTTTGTACCAAGTACATAACTCGCATTTAAAAGAACGTGTTATCCCGTTTAAACGAATGTGATGTGTCAAAGTGTCACGTTCTTTTGCACTGAGATTACAAGCTGTGAACATTGCCCATGGTGGAATGCATTGAGATATTGCACAACGTACAATGCCAAAGCACATTGGCTGGAATCGCATTCTAGCCGCTTACAATCAGCTTCTTTGTCATTTTTGCTCGTAGGAGCTTTGGAATTAGGTATCTGTGTATTTCGGTGTCCTTGCCAGCATGCATTTTGGAACGAAGTAGACAGTTACTGCTGCTCATTGCCCGACGTGCTTCCAGGGCGTGCACCGCCAGGCCGTCGAGGACAGCCACAAGGCGTTCGCCGGGAGGCTGCGCCGTGCTTCGCAGTGGCTGCGCGACGAGGCGCGGGTGCACTGCCTGTCCGCGGAGGAGCTGGAGCGCGGCCTGGCCGTGGCGCTGCTCAACGGCATGGAGGGCGCCAGCGGCAGCGAGTTCTACCTGGTGAGTGCACTGTGAGGCGTCGGGGTGTTGCAGCACACGCCAAGAGTCCACTCTTCCAAACCTTCGAAGCATTTCTGCAAAGAAAATAAAGGCATTGTGGAATTACTTCGTACGAAGGATTTTTCTTCGTGATAGGAAGCATTTCTTCGTACATTTTTCAATGCCTTCGTTTTCTTCTTAATACGAAGTGATTATTCGATTCTTCGTTGGAGTTTACTGCGTTTGTGTAGAGTTTTGTATTTGTATACGTATATATACGCTTTAAACCTTACGAAGTATTTCGAGCATACATAGTACCACCTAATTAACTTTGTCATGTGAAGAAATAGTTCGTAAACTACGAAGTTTTTTTTTCTTTGCAAGCTTATATGCTCAAAATCCTTTGTTATAACAGGTTGCGTTTCTTTCTAAGGCTCAAAACAATGTAAGGTTTTCTCAGTGTAATATGCACGATTTTGTGCAAACGTGGAATTTGCATAAAATGCGTCTTCCAATGCCAATGTGAGCAAAATTTTTTGCTGAACAGTACGTAGGTTTAAAATGATGCAGCACCTTATACAGAATCGTACGTAAACACTAAGTCCTAGCGTGCAGGGGGCCACTGGCCTTGACGCCATGTGAGACGCTGTCAGTGCGGATTTAGAACTATCCTATCTGGGAAACCAGCGAGGACCCGTGTTTTTCACAGGTAAAAACTAAACCCTCTGTTTCAAGCGTTATCAGTTTACGCTTGAAATCAAGCGTAACAGGCTCTTCCCCCAAGATTTCACCTATCTGGATGCATGGGAAAAATTTGCAGACAATGCTCTATTTCGTCTTCAAGCGTAACTTTATGCTTGACTCAATCATAGAGTTATGCTTTACTTTTACCAGTGTTGCCGTGTTTTGCTCTTAGCGGCGTCGTTTGGAACTTCCGCTTCCTCTTGCAGATCGGAGGCGTGTTCGCGGGGCTGTCCCTGGTGGGCCACAGCTGCTTGCCCACGGCGTGGCGCTACGCGTGCCGCCGCGACTCCAAGGACATGCAGCTGGTGGCGTCGCGGGACGTGGCCAAGGGGGAGCGCCTCACCACGTCCTTCATCCGCGACCCGCTCAGCGCCTCCCTGGGCTGCGACACGCAGCGGCGCCGCGCCGTGCTGGCCGACATGACGGGGCGCGTGTGTCGCTGCGCGCTGTGCGAGGACCCCACGCAGCGCGGCCTGTACCTCAACTCGTGGCGCTGCGCCTGCTGGCAGCGTGAGTACTCTGGGAAGCCCCACTGTTATTTCTGATGGGATAAGTTTCCCACAATTAGCCGAGTTAAGGTTATTTTTTGTAAAGTGAAAAAAGTGGCTATTTGACATTTTGAAAACACTTGCGTCAGATGTCTCAATTTAGGGCTAAAAGTTCCTTTCTATTACCTAAACTCATACCCTAAGACTAGGGCCCCAACTCCTTTTAGTCTGAGTTATGGAGGTTTACGTAAACTTTTACACTGCCAATCCAAGTGTGAGACTGTCTCACACTTGGATTGGCAGTGTAGTAGTTTCTCGCAAATTCTCCTCACGACAAAGAATTAGCTACCCAGTCTTTAGATTCTGGCAATTTTATCTATTTTTGAATAGGAAAAAGAAAGCGTTGCCCTTTTTTAAATATCTGCCTCAGTTTTCCTGAAAAACCAAAAACAAGACCCAAATGGCTCAAAATCTCACAAATTTGAAGGAAATTAAAAATCGGCTCTTACAGCCTCTTCTCGACCGATATCTTCAAATCTGCTAACGCTAATTTTTTCCTATTCAAAAACAGATGAAATTGCCAAAACCTGAAGACTGGGTAGCTAATCCTTTGTCGTGAGGACAATTTTGGGAGAAATGACTAAAATTTTACGTAAACCTTCATAACTCAAGAGACTTACAGGAGTTAGGACCCCCAACTTTGGGAAAAAATTCATCTTATGGTGGTTCAATTGTGACCTCAAAATGATGTGCCTGAGATAAATATTTCTAGGACATGCTAGTTTCACTTTACAGTATCCTTAAGAGAGCTTATGCGATTCCTTCAAACTATCGCATCTATGACATCAAATAAAAAAATTAACGCGTTAAAAATTAAAAAAAAAAAAATGTTTTGGCCGGTCTGGGCCCTAATTATCACAGTTTTGGTTTAAAGTGATAACTATACGCCAAACGACGTTCAGAGCGGTGAGAAGGGGCTCCGGCACGGATGCCTTGCTGTGGTCTGGTAGTACCACACGTGCGGATCATACACTGTAGGGCTTTTCAGTGTGCTTCAGGTCGAAGAGTTTTGCATGCCAATGGGTGTACGGAAGGACTACCGCAGCCATCCATCACGTTTTGTCAGTTTTCGAGAGTTTTCAGTGCAGTTCAGTTCTACGGATCTACACTGTATGCCTATGACTCGTGAAATATACAGCAATGCAGCATATTTTGACATGTTTCAAGTCCCAGAGACATTGTCTTCCCTATAAGACAATAGCTTCCCCACCTCTACGGTGGTAGCGCCACTCGGAAATTGAATCGAATTTTCCTTTATGTTCCAGACCATGGCTGTCACGAGCTGGTGCTGGTGCTGGAGGGCGGCCGCTGGCGGTGCGACGGCTGTGGCTGCGAGGGCGCCACGTCCGCGCAGGACGGGGAGAGGTTTCTCGGGGGGCTGCTGGGCGCCATGGTGTCGGGGCGCGTGGGTGGAGGCCAGGCCTGGCTGCCGGAGGGCGCGCAGCTGGACGGCGCCACGGGCCAAGGACTGCCCCTGCTGCTCGAGGAGTACTTCGGGTTGGTGTCTGACTATTCCTTTTGAGAACACACTCTTAATGTCTTACAATTAAATTTCACCTATGGTCTTCACATGTTAACGTGAATTCGGCGCAAGCATGATACGAAGCGATGTTTTTTCGTAACACGAACGTTTCAAACTTTTTCGTTGTAAGACACAAAGAAAAACCTTCACGATATGAAGAAAAACCACCTTCGTAAAATACTTGCGCCATTCCCTTCGTATTATGGGAAATTTCTTCGTAAGACATTCAGATGGCACGCATTCTTAATGAACTAATGTCTGCAACACTCGTAAAAGTCTGCAAAGCTTTTGCTGTGTAACAACGAAGAAACTGAAGGAACTGTATAATCGCTTTGTATTGCGAAGAATTTTGTTTCGGGATACGAAGATACGAATTTACAATGCCAAGGCCTGCCTGCAGGCGTGTTGTTCTCTGATTTAAAGAACCGCACCTCACTTGAATTCAACCAATGTGACGTCACATTTTTTCGAATGTGAATTTTGTAGCGTACGTTGCAAAACGACGTCGCAGTCGTCTTGATGTCAATCCACGTTCGAACGAATGTGACATCGTCAAATGAACATTACCAAACTCCGAGGAATATGGCGTTACATCGTTCACACCAAATTCTTGTGGACTTTTTAATTCATGCGCAGATACGTTTGTACGGTTTGTTTCATATCATGCACCGCTGTGTATATTTAATGCAGAGAGATGCACAAAATGTGTACAGTTATGCAATATTGTACACACGTTGCGCACATATCTGTGCATGCATCATTAGGCACCAAAAGGTGCAATTACAATGCATTTTAAAAGTTCACAAGAGTTTGGTGAGCGATTCTCACGTTTCGGGGTAGTTTTGGCGTCTCTGATTTGCCGAAAGTGAGAAATATCCAATTAAGTTTTTCTGATTATTGGGGTCCTGGATGATACTAGAGTTATGGCAATGGTATTTATAGTAAAGACCTTGTACTATCTTCCTGAAAACATGAGCCATAAGGTATTCCCATACGTTTTAGTGGGTGTTTTGATCACGGAAATTACGTTATCACGGAAGTTACAAAGTGTGAAAATCAGCTTTAACGGCTGACTCGGGCTTGCTGTGGCTTAAAAGTCGTTCCAGGGTCAAATGATGCTCTAAGCCCGACATTTCAGCGGAAAATTTTTTCACCTAGTGCTGCTGCAACATTGGATAAAGGGTGCCACGGAAGTTACAGGTAATTGTTGATACACGCCATTTTATAATGCTCTAGCCCGCTTTGAGACCGTGTACAGCATCTTAGATTTCCGCGACCCATGCAATTATATCCCAGGGACTCCACTTTGATGGCTTGTGTCATGGAAAGTTAAAAGTTTGGCTTGGGGAGAAGTCCAGAGCTGCCTTTTCGAAATTTGTGTAGTTAAATTAAATATACGGAGGACATTTTTCGTTGCAGCATAAGTACCTTTGAAAGAAGTCTGGCGTATTGGTCTTCGGTTGAAATTAGCTCGAGACATGCCAAGGTTCGGATCCCCATCGACAGTGGGCAGCATTTTCGAACCACACCGCCACACTGGGGGCGGAAAGTTCGAGTGTGTTCTCTTTGGACAATCACGGAAGTTACATTTGGGGTATTCCAAACGCTACGTAGACCAATCCAACGAACGAGAACTTTTCGAAATGTGTGCGTTTAGTGGGTAATGGCCCTCCCTAACATCAGAAACAAACCCCATGTCGATATCTGCGCTCGTTTGGGCACAGGAGTCAGAAGAAACGAAACTACCCCGAAACGTGAGAATCGCTCTGGTGTGTCAAAACCATAAGGGAAAACCACTTCAAAAAAATGTAGACACCAAAATGCAAATTTAAAAAAAAATCAACTAAATTCAAAAAGTTTATAGGGCTGTATTTTGGCCTCAGGGACCTGGTGGCGGCCCGCACCACGGAAGTGGCGCAGTGGGAGGAGTTCATCGCGGACGCGCTGCCGCCCAACGGGCCCCTGCACCCCACGCACCACCTGGTGCTGCGCGCCAAGCGGCAGATCCTGTGTCCCGACAAGGACGGCGTGGAGGCCGACATCACGAACCTCAAGCTGCGCATGCCCAAGACGATCGGTGAGTGCATAGCAATGTTGTCGTAATCAAGATAAATTGTAATTTATTCTCTTTAAGCTGAAGATGACAGATCAAAGTAACCAATAGTGCATGTAGAATTATCATCCGCTTTCTCTCGGATCCGTCCCAAATGATCAAAATGAGTGAAATTCGCATGCGTTCAAGGTGATTCTCTTGGCAACGCCCAAATAAGATCTTTTGACAAGGACCCCTCGAAATAAGGCCACACGCTTCAAACTTTACGAATTATTTAGAGCCCATATACTTCAGCCTACAATTTAATTTACTTTGTTATTCGAAGAAATAGTTCGTCAATTACGAAGTATTTTCTTTGTAAGATTATGCATGGTCAAAATACTTTCCAACAACCTGCTTTTCTTTGCAAGGCCTGAAATAGTTTGTAATGTTTTTCACAGTGCATAGTTATGGACAATATAAGTACATAAAAATGTGGTGAGCGGCCTCGTCCAAAAACTGCACGCTTAAAACCTTCCGAAGTGTTTTGAGCATACATTATACAAACTAAATTAGTTTATTATAGAAAGAAAATAGTTCGTAATGTACCAAGTCTTTTCTTTGCAAGCTGCAAGCTTGCCCAAAATACTTTGTTACTACTTAATACTGCTTTTCTTTGCAAGGCCTAAAATAGTATTTAAGGTTTTCTCAGTGTGCGTACTCATCAAGACTCATTCTCGGTGTGGCTGTGGCGTTGCAGACGAGGCGCGGCGCTACTCCTCGCACGGCAGGGACCTGCTGCGGGCGGTGGAGGTGCTGCGTCCGGGCGTGAACCACTACCGCACCGACCTGCTGCGCCAGCTCGTGGTGCTGGACGTGATGAGCGTCACCCTGTTTGCAGCCCTGCCGCCGTGGCAGTGCACCGCCCGGAGGGCCGAGTGGACGGTACGTGGGCTGGGGGAAATCACTGTGGACTTCAGTGAACAAATCCAATAAATTTTAGCTGACTTACCATGAATTTCAGGTGAAAAGTACTGAGTTTTGAGAAGAATTTCAATGAATTTTAATAAATTTTGACATATTTCAATAAATTTCAATGAATTTTAGTGAATTTTACAAGTTTGATGAATTTTGGTGTACAAATTTGGCAGGAGTTATTTCCCATTGTACGTAGGTCTCGCGCTCTCCCTCTCTCTTCTCTCTTTCCACTCTCAGCCTCTTATTGACTTTCTCGTCACTAACCAGGTACTGTAGCATTAGCCTTCAACAGTAGTGTTTTTTTAAAGACAATTTACCACATGAAATTTGTTAGCATTTTTTGTTTGTCAATAAGTACGAACAAAATGCAGATTATCAGAACAAAAGTGAAAAGTACATGTGTGGCATTCGTAACAGCGTATCTATAGTGGGATTCCCAATGAAGATAAGTTGTTCTGTCAGATGATCGCTCATATACTGTTGCTCAAAAGACCAGACTTTGTCAACAAAGTGTCAATACCATGTACTGAAAGTCAATAGTGCGTCTGAAAGTGTTCACTCTCTTTTTTCCTCTTCTTCTTTTTCTCTCCTTCTTCTCCTCTTCCTTTTCTCTCCTATTTTCTCTCCCGCTTGTACTTCCTCTTTCTCTCAAGAGAAATGAAATTTCATTTCCTCTCTCCCGCTTGTGTTCCTCTTTCTCCTTTACCCTCTTTTTCTTTCCTCACTCTCATTTTTCTCTTCGTAATACCGTGCTCTGGGCGATGCGGTCAAATTTCGAATGTCTGCATGGGTATACGCTCTTCATTGCTGTGCTTTCTTATCTGTGAATAGCTTTTGCAGGTAAAGATGAGTGATGATTGCCTAGTTCATTTCGTTTTCTTTTGTGTTTTCAGACCATTGTGAAAGAGTTCGCGGAGGATTTGTCCACTGTGAAGAAAGCCTCTGTCAGTCCTTTCGAAGTAGAGACGGTTCACTCTCTTATTTCGCAGAAGAACATGTTGTTAGCTGCTCTGAATCCAGTCTTAAAGAAGGACACTCAAGAACTTCAAGTGATTTAGAAAGACTATCTCAACAAAATGTAATTTGCTGTTAGGAGGGGTCACGTGTCATGCGTCCTATTTGCCAATCAATAATTTGAATTATTTTGGTGAGATGGTCTATGGTGGGGGGAATGTAGTTGTGGTTCTTTTAGTCCGTCTTGTGGTCAGTGAATTGGAGAATTTGAAGTAATAAAGAAAGATGGTCTAAAACATAAACGTTCTTGTATTGTTGGGAAGGGATCATGGGTCTTTCCGTGCTTTTGGTCTAATGAATTGACTTTATGTCTACTCATGCCAATAAAGTCTAATGCGTTACTTGAGTCATGCATGATACTGTAAAAACATCCGTACACTCAAAAATTTCCTGGTTAACCGTGCAGTAACACTTCAACCGTATTTCAAGAAACATCATCCACCGTAGAAGTCTCCATGCTATCATGCTATCCTTACTTTACACGGTGCACTGAAAATGTAGTGGCGTGACTTCGAGCCATTTCAGGGGCACGTAGAAAGTGTATTTTCTCCTAAACTGTTAGGAATAGGGTCAAATAATTTGGTGTGATGATACAAACCATCCTGAGGCACATTACTAAAATAAAAACTAAGTCAGAGTCGGAAGTCGGAAATAAGTCGAATTATCTCCTTGTTCCGCTTTCTGGATCTGTGTCCGACTAATCCATTTTCAGAGTTGGGTTAGGTGATAGAACTCAAATCCTTTTTACAAACAAATGCTGTAGCCTCAAAATCATTTTATTGTTTCAATTTATGTTCAAATCGCAGGTGAGCGACGGGTGGAGTAGACAGCCATCGTCAGTGTTAAGCACCTCAAAATAACCATAATACTAAGCAAAGAAAAGTTTTACACTGATGGTAACATTATCGCACGCTCCTTCGTTTATTGCAGAGACTCATTTTTAGTTGGTATCCCGATGCCAATCTCGTGAGGCTCCTTTGAGGAAGGACATTTTAACGGCTGTACGAGGGTACCAACAACACCCGCAACTGGTGACATGTTCAAGGAATGTCGGCCCACTGGTCGACGCAGTCGGCAGCCTTGCTGGCCCAGTTCTCGTAGATGGATGGCTCGGCCGTGCCCTTGTTGGTGACGCACGTCACATAGAACCGGTGCCAGTCCCGACGCAGCAGGCGGAAGTAGGCGGTGGCGAGTTGGATGCAGGCCGTGAGCGGGTGCCTGTCGCTCACACCAGGCTGCAACGGGAGCCCGATGCACGTCGTCAGCTTCTCGTTGAGCGGCCGATCGACGCGCGCAGCGCCCTGCTGCACCAACTAACTGCCGAGCAAAGCACAGGCAAGTGTATCATTTAGATCGGTCCTGGCGCAAATGGGACTCGGCAAATGCGTTCGGTTCATCCCACGCCCAGCCAGAATTAGGTGTTCGAAAGGACGCCGATTCGACGTAGAATCTATGAAAAATCCATCGACATCGTTTCGAGCACCTAATTCTGGCTGCGACGTCCTGCGACCACACTGATATTAAAAATTGCTACTGTTATAAGTGCATCACGTAAAAAAGAAACAAATCTTATGCAGCTGTTGGTGCACTCTAGAAAGCCTACGAAGCGTTTGCATCGTAATTACGAAGAAAACGAAGGTGTAGTAGAATTGCTTCGTATTATGAAGAAATGCTTCGTATAACCAGGGGGTGGCAACGGCCTAGGGAGAGCGTGAAGCGATGCTCGCGCCGTCAGTGCAGAGGTTGCGCACTTGTTCGAGATTATGAAAACTAGACTGTGTTTTTCAAAACACTTTGCACCGATAGAAAGGGCTTGAAATTTAGGGTGCATTAGGCTAATTGCCCTTCTCGAAACTCCTTCCTTACCCAATATTAAGGTGCAGTAAAAACACCAAAAAAACACAAAAATCATAAAATTTAGGAAAAAACTCGAATGCGCCTTGTTGGTGTAAATGATTTTGCCCTTGTGTTCGGTTGAATTGGAAGTATCGGGCAGTCTACTAGGCCTAATGCACCCCAAATTTTGTGCTCTTTCGATCTGTGCAAAGCGTTTTGCAATCAACGGCCTAGATCTTACAATCGAAGCAAAATAAGTAACCCCTGCACCTTACTCGCGCATGGCTTCACGCGCCTCCTAGTCCGTTGCCGCCCCCTGGTATAACGAAGGATTTTGCTTCGCGATAGGAAGCATTTCTTCGTAGTTTGTACAAAACCTCCATTTTCTTCGTGTCACGAAGCGGTTTTTCGTAGAGTTTTTACTTGGCGACCCCGGACAACTTAGTGAGAGCGTGTGGCCGGCCGAAAGAGCGCTGTCATGGCGGCCTTACCATCAAAGTGGCTGCCACTACGACGAGGACGAGTTTCATGGCGGAGATCTCCAAGGCGAATACTTCGCTGGGAGCGACACCCGTTCCTTAAGTAGCCGCGCCCGGGGCCGTTGGCACTACTGTCGTGTCCCGTTGTCACGCCACATCGTGACAACTGCTATTAAACGGATCTAATAGGTGGTGCACTGGTGCACCCTTTTCGTAGTATGGTAATTCCAAACACGCAAACACAATCGTTAAAGAGATAAAGCTACAAATTGGAAACACAGTCGAATGGATGCATTCTTAAAACCTTACGAAGTATTTTGAGCATACGTAAAACAAACTAAAATACTTTATTATACGAAGAAATAGTTCGTAAATAACAAAGTATTTTGTTTGTAAGCTAGCGTATGCTCAAAATACTTTGTTATACAAACTACTTTTCTTTGTAAGGCCCAAAATAGTTTGTAAGGTTTTCTCAGAGTGCATCGTCTTAAATCTTTCAGAGAGTGAATTTGGCCTTCCGCTGCGGCCTGAACGCCAAATTTTGGCTTTTCTGGAGAGCGACACTGCAAAGCCAGTTGTAAGTTTACTTGCCACAAATTTAGCAAGCCGTTTTGAATGCCAAAAATTGGCGAGCTTGGCCCGGAAATACTCCCTAGCTTGCCAAAATTTGGCAAGCTTGGTCCGGAAATACTTCCCAGCTTGCCAAAATTTGGCCAAAATTTGGCCAAAATTTGGCAAGCTTATAAAGATTGCCGACCAAAGCTTGCCAAATTTTGACTTAAAAAACGGCTTTCCAAATTTGTGGCAAGCAAACTTACCACTAGCTCTGCGGTGGGCATGGGGCCAGAAGGCTAAATTATGCAAACGAAGCGCCACTGGAGTGGCAAGCAATATTACTGAAGGATTTGTATGATGCTCCTGCAACAGCCCCTTTTGCTGGTCGGATCGGATTTGCTGCTATCGGGCCGCTGGTATTTATTTCTCACCGTTCGGGTCCAAAACGAGAACAGCTTGATAAAACGGCAACCTTAAAACTCTAATCTTAGCCAGCAGTATTCGTCTGAACGATCATGATGTTTAGAGTTCCTGCAGCTTGGACTAAAACTCGAATTTTTAAGAACCGTTTTGTTACCCATTACCTGTTTTCGAGCCTTTAACGCTTGAGGGACACGTGTAACACCCTACCTTAATTTGAGACGTGCCACCGTAAAATTCTCGTGCTGGTGGAAGTCACGATCGGCCATGAGGAATCCCTTAATAAGCGGGTCGAGCGCAGCGTGCAGACATACATCGACATGAGGATCTCCGTCGTTCTTGTCCCCTGCGTCTTGTTGGTGGCCTCGTTTGGCCTAACCCACCAAGCGGTAAGACCTTGCTGTTTCGAATTAGTTATCTTCCAATGTTTGCGGATCAAAACACTCGCGGAGGGAATACTGAATGGCCTCTCTTCAGGCTTGTGTAAGGACACACAGATGAATGCTTGCCAGTGCACACCAACAAACCCATACTTTGCAAGAAGGCACTTTCAAAGTCATACTTGTAGCCGTATAACTCCATGCAAGGCATACTCTCATTCAGTCTCCAGTTAGCATGCCCCGAAACTGGGCGCCTTTGTCGCCCGCTCCACTTTTTAGGGCGCCAAAATGGCATACAGGACATGAGCCCCGTCCCGTTTGAGCCCCGATGGTCTGAGCCCCGACCTGAGCCCCAACCTGAGCCCGGGTTGAGCCCCGACTTGAGCCCCGACCCAAGCCCCAATTTCCAGAGCCCGGATTGAGCCCCGACCTGAGCCCCGTTTGAGCCCCATTTGAGCCCCACTTGAGCCCCATTTGAGCCCCGCGACCTGAAATCACGCATTGTTGCATAATTTATTGCTATGGGGCTCAAGTGGGGCTCAAATGGGGCTCAAACGGGGCTCAGGTCGGGGCTCAATCCGGGCTCTGGAAATTGGGGCTTGGGTCGGGGCTCAAGTCGGGGCTCAACCCGGGCTCAGGTTGGGGCTCAGGTCGGGGCTCAGACCATCGGGGCTCAAACGGGACGGGGCTCATGTCCTGTATGCCGCCAAAATGTCCCCAGTTTCTGGGCAACCCAATTCGGACTGCAGGCATTTGAGTGTACTGCTTACTAAACACGCATTTGCAGCACTTTCCCCACTTGCCCATGGGTTTATTAAAGTGTACTTGCAAGCATGCATTTGTAAGTGTGTACTCGGTAAACAGTTAGGTTTGTAACGCAAGAGCTCTCAGAAGCTTGCTACATTTTGAATGTAGTTTGCTGCTGTAGCTATTTTTTTTTTTCGGGAAATATATCCGGGATATTTCGAAAAGTCGCAATGATGACATGTCTCTACGTTAACATGGTCGTGCCGTTTCCGTACACGCTCTTACATGCAATAAACACACGTAAACATTCGTCGTAAAAATCCGTCTCAGGCTGCTAGGAAGTCATATCATAGCAAAATACTACATTGATGCAATCAACTTGTTGTGGCTCCTGACTGACTGAAGACTAGGAGTTTCGTTCCTTCAATCTGCGGACCTCTGTGAACTCCAATTCTATTTTACTTTCAGAATGATCCGCTCGCAGTGCCGTGGGCAAGCAGACAGGGTCTCCTCAAGAGCTGCATCGCTTCCTCCCAGGCCGTCACCCACTTCCCCCAGAACGTAGTCAACGACCACAACAACTCCCTCACTGCCCTGCTGCGAAGCTACGCCAACCGCCGCCAGACGCTGCTGCTTAGCGGCTACCTGTCCGGAATGTTAGAGTGCGGAAAGGCCACCGCCTCCTGGCAGCTTGGCTCCTTGGTGGGTGATGTCATGCTTTGCGTGGCTCTGTCCATGGCCGCGGGCAAGTAATCCTAGTAATAAAGGTGTTGAAAATTTACCCGTTACTGTGTTTTCCTCCTTTGATAAAATGTAAACCTGGTGCACTCCGGGCAAACAACTTCGTCAAAATTTGTACACTGTTATTTCAAGGGTATTTCTTGTTATTTCAAGGAAACTGTACACCCAAATTCAAGTTGTTTGCCCCTCGGTGCACTCCTAAGTAATACCTACATTGACACAGCAAAAAATTCCGTGGTTTGGTACGGAAAATGGGGTATGGAAAAGGCACGGACCTTCCGCACTGGTTCTCTGTAGTCTCCATAAGGATCTCATGTAAACTGGTTCGGGAAACATGTACAGAACTTCTGTGGTTGTCAAGGTACGGACGGTCCAGGTAAAAAATTGATCAGACACGTTCCGTACTTTCTCCGTATTTTTTCTACCAGTGGATGTAAGGTAGAGTATTCGCCAGATGAAATCGGCCCCTTCTAGGAAAACCATGATAACTGGTTAGGGTGCAAGGCACCATCTTAACGCTCTCAAAGAGAGACACAGCGGCTAGCGCAGTAGGCATAGAATCTTTCACCACAACCGCCAGGGAGAGAACTTTCGAACTGCAATGAGAACTGTGGGAATGCCGACATCCTTGTCCTAACTACGAAGAATTACTAACTGGGCCATGACAAAGTTCCACCAACAGACTTCACTTCACACTTTTTGCAGACCTTTTTACAGACAACAACATTGAGAACACCAAAGGAGGCAAGCTTTTGTGGTTTGAAAAAAGGTCAAAGGCACTATTTCCGAGTAAATAGTTTTATTCAAATAAATACACGGTGATGGGCAAGTAAAAAAGTTAGTGCTACCGATGACTCAAATCGTGGTCGTATAGAATATCAACATCGTTCTTAACATAGTTTGAAAAGCAAAGTTAGAATTGTTTCTTGTGGATTGCAAGCAGTTGTCGTCACAGAACATTTGACAGCACTCTCTCGACGTTCTTCAAAACCTGAATGGAAACCAGAAACCATTAGAAGGCTAGTGCCGTGTTTCCCACCAAGTTTCCTACGACAAAGGTTCAATCCTGCGGTAACGATTGAAAAATCGACTGCGGAACCCCTCAATAGATAGGCAAAACCACGTGGCAGACAAAATTTTTGCCCCACACTGAGAAAAAAGTCTGGTTAAAAGTACCAGACCAATCCTAGTTAAACGAGTACTAGTTACTCATACGAGAATCCTAGTAACTCTCACCAGATGATCAGTTGCAGTAACCAGATCGGGTGTTGTGACATTTACCAGGTGTCTGGTTAATAATCCTGGTAAATTTTACCAGACTGATCCGTAATTGGCACCATACGTAAAACTTCGAAATATTCGTTTCAATTTAAATGTTCGGGTGTCAAAAAGTAAACTGCAACCGGTTTCGTTATTTTCGGAGTCTTAAATCCGAAAGAAACACTGGGAGTATTTCCCTGAGCCAGACACGTAGAGAGTCACCTGGTGGGGATCCCCTCGACCCACAGGCGACGTGGTGGCGCAGTGGTAACGTGCCCGTCTCACAAGTGTGAGATCCCGGTTCGAATCCGGAGGAGAGGAGGAGGGAAAAAAAAACAATTCAGAGGTTGTTCGTTAACGAAATCGACGTCACATCAGGTTTAATCACTACGAAAAATTATTTTATTAAATTTTGGACTTCTTACTTCAGTTTTGTAAGCACATTAAATAACCAGGATGTTTGGTAAAAACTACCAGAAGGGGACCTGGCGGCATTGTGAGGATAACTATAAATCTGGTACGGTTTACTAGACTGAGGCCAACTAGACAGTTTAGTATTTTTTACCAGAATTCTAGTTGAGTTATATTCTATCAGACAGTCTGGTATTTGGTACCAGGATTCTGGTTATCGGTACTAGACTTTTTTTCAGTGCAGTAGTTAGAACCCCTTAATTGAAACTTGATGCTGCGTACGCCCAGAATAGACGTTTCTTCATACAAGAAATTTTTTTCTAAAGATGCACATCATGGTAAAGTAATTAATCCTTGTTTATCCAAATAAATTTTCTCATTTCAATATATTTTTTTCCTGAGTGTACCCAAATTAGTGAAGATCGGATCATGCACTCTAAATGTCTTCGGGTGGAAAGCTGCACCAACATATTATGGTTAAGATTTTGTCCATAATACAAACGAAATTCGTCAAAATATCTATATGGTACGGTGAATTCTCATTAGTACGTTAAAATTCCAGCTGCACCACCATAATATAAACAATTTCACCATAATATAGACAATTCTCCACTATACAACTTTTAAAGTGTGGGAAGTGTCCAGATGGACTGGTGAGTTAAACGCACTCACATCACGCACCGATGCACCTATAAATGTCTCACAATGAAATTTGAACTGTTTTTCGTGTTACAGTAAATTCAGCGCACGCATAGGACGAAGCTATAGTTCTCCGTAATACTAACCTTATTAGCTTTCATTTGAGATAAAGAGAAAAACCTTCGTAATACGAAGAAAAATCACCTTCGTATTACGCTTGCGCCATCTCCTTCTTCTGGGAAATTTCTTCGTAAGATAGTGGGGACTTCGAAGAAAAGTTTAAAGCACCGTACCTCAAGTTTTGTCGTAGTTTCGGCTCTCAGTTGCACAGTTTTTTCATCCTCCTGGAAAAGATCATCTTGCAGGTCCGCTTGGAAGAGATGAGTCATCAGTCGCACAGCTAGGTTCCTCTTGACTCTGTTCACCAAATAGGTCATAATTGTCTTGCAGACCCCATCACTGACGGTTTTAGCGACTACGTCATAGTAATGTTTCAACATTTTCCCTGCAAGTATTAAAGTGTTGTCTCACAACCGCCACTTCTATTTTCACCTCCTGGAGGGCACACACTCTGAGATGATGGTAAATCCTTGACATTTGCCAAACTTTACCGTACTTCGAAAACCAGTATCCACCGTACAGCCTACAGTATTTACCGTACTCGTTTTACAACATATACCGTAATCTTTTCACAGTAGTTACCGTTCTTCCGTACAGTCCATGCCGTAGGAAAGACCACATCTGGTACCAACAAAGGCCCCTTCCAAGAAATGTCCACATCAGGATCTTGACAAAAGGGGGACGACCGACTGAAAAATTTTATTGCACCTTTCGATAGGTCTCGTCAAGACCTTTTCAACGAGTGGTCGGAAGGGGGTCCAGGAGTCCGACTTCAGCAGTTACGTACATTAGGATCTTGAAAAAAAAAGTCGACCGACTGAAAAAAATTATGGCAGTTTTTGATAGGTAAAAGAGCGGTATTCCCAGGTAAAAAAGTACGGGATTCCCTGGGAAAAAAGGACTGTATTTACAGTAAAAAAGTACGGCATTGCCTGTTAAAAAAAAGTACGGTGAAGTCTGGAGTAATCAGTACAGGATTTACCGTGATCTTTTCTCGCAGTGCATGAAGGATGTACTACATGCCTGCAGGAATATCTGACTACTTACCCAGAACCATGATTTGCTTTTGATGCTTAGGTTCTATCTCTGTTACGAGGTCGGGAAATATTTTGACAGCTTCATTTTCTGTCAGTCTGTTCAGGAAGTCAGGATCACTTTTAAAAGGCAGTGTCAGTGTAGCATCTGCTGCTGTCTTTGCAAACAACTCTTCGATGCATTCGAATTCATCGTAAGTTATGTGACCAAGCTCGATTTCATTCAGATCCTTAATCTGAAACATAACATAAACGTTATTTGCCGTACCTCGAAGCCAGCATCGGAACTGCATATCAACATTCGTTACACTTTTATGGGGGCTCATACATGTTAAGAGCACTTTGCGAAAATATTTTTTTGATATAGAAGATCCGAGATTTTATGGTTTCTGTATTAAAACCTGCTTAGATAATTAAGTAACCTTCATTTGGGCATGAAGTAAAGTGACTTTGGACACTTTTTGGAAATTTAGTAGAAACGTTTAAAATTTTGGTTCTCGTAAGATTTTGTTTGCATACTTGCTCAGATCTGTGGGGGAAAAATCAGGGAGACTCATCCCCAGTAGTGTCATAGAATTGACTTCAATGGGCTCCTTATCTGCAATTGTTTTCCAGAAAAAAAAATAAAAACCATTTATTGTTCAAAAATTTGTTCAAAAAATTGTTTTTATTTTTTTCTCGTGAAAACTCTTGCAGATAAGAAGCCCATTGTAGTCAATTCTATGACACTACTAGGGGTGAGTCTCCCTGATTTTCCCCCCACAGATCTGAGCAAAGTATGCGAACAAAATCTTACCAGAACCAAAATTATAAACGTTTCTACTAAATTTCCAAAAAGTGTCCAAAGTCACTTCACTTTATGCCAAAATGAAGGTTACTCAAATATCGAAACAGGTTTTAATACAGAAACCATAAAATCTTAGTCCTTCTATATCAAAAAATATTTTTGCAAAGTGCTTTTAACATGCATGAGCCCCCTTAATGCACCTTCGTTATGCGAAAACCGGTAAATTGCATGCTTCGTATAGAGCAAATGGCAAAATTTGTGGAGAAAAATTACTCTTGATACACAGCAAATTTTAATATCGAAAACAATGCTGCAGGCGTGCTACATGGTGCACACTCTTTATGTCTTACAATGAAATTCGAGCGATGTTGCAGTTAAGGGGGCAATACACTGAAAATGGCCAAACACTGACTAGTGCGATTGCTTCCATACGCGTTGTTGGGCGTTGTTCAAACTTAACATGTGTCAAGACCTTACAAAAAGAAGCATTTTAAGCCCAGAATGGCGTCCGCGTCCATCGGACGTCAGGGAGCGGAGCAGCGCCCAATCAAATTTTCGTCAAAAGTCGAACTGGCGGGCATCCCTTAGTCCGCAAAAATGAAGATATCTCGACCCCGTTTGCGCCAAAATGTAGGTAATTGAAGCGGCTATAGCGCAAACTAGGATTATGAACATCGAGCAACCGAAAGTACAAAATTTCATCCAAAAACACTTTTTGAGGATTTTGCAAAAATGATCAAAACAGGTTTTCTTCGTAAAATTTCCTACTTTTGATTGTTCGATGTTCATAATCCGAGTTCATGCGATAGCCGCTTTAATTACCTACATTTTGGCGCAAACGGGGTCGAGATATCTTCATTTTTGAGGACTGAGGGACGCCCGCCAGTTCGACTTTTGACGAAAATTTGATTGGGCGCTGCTCCGCTCCCTGACGTCCGATCGAGGCCATTCTGGGCTTAAAATGCTTCCTTGTGTAAGGTCTTGGCACATAAAAAGTTTGAACGACGTTCCACAACGCGTGTGGAAGCAATCGCACTAGTCACTTTTTGGCCATTTTCAGTGTATTGCCCCCTTAATGCACTGCAAGCATAATACGAAGCAATATTCCTACGCTCTTCTGTCTTTTCCGAGGGGTACCTCACTTCCAAAATAAGTGTACACTGACTGGTGACTAGACTAAAATTCCACTTTGATTAGATTGAAAATTTTACGAATTGCGTTATAAAAATGCCCCAAATGGTGCAAATTTCCCAGTTGGTGCCGGCTTTTTTAGTGACTAGACTGAGACAAGGCAGTGACTGGAGTCAAGGGCGTACACTGACTAGACAAAGTGATGCACCCCTCGGTCTTTTCTGTACTTAAGGGGAGGTTCTGGTGAAAAAAAATCTTCTTGCGCATACTATTTTGTCGTAAAGGGTTGGCTTTGACATTTTTCACTTCTTCGATTCCTTTTTTAAAGATAACGGCATGCACAACTCAAAATGTAAATTACATTTTTATTCGCAAGCTTTCTAACCAAGCATTTCTCTATAATTGATCAAAAATGTACAAAATAGACAAATTTTAGGGTATTTTCAGCTTTACAAGCCTACAACGAATAGTAGAATGGAAATTTTGAGCTATGCATGCTGGAATCTTTTGAAAATGATTCGAAGAAGTGAAAAATGTCAAGGTCAACCTTTTACGACAAAATAGTGGGCGCAAGAAGACTATTTAAGATACAGCCAAATTGGGCTCAAAAATACTCTTTGACTGGGTTTAGAGCCTGGCATGTGCCTACAGAAGTCAAATTTTAATCTTCTTGAAGAAAGATTTCATATTCCGAACAAATTATGACAGTGAGATCCAATTGGAAAATGGCAAGACTTTCACCAGAACCTCCCCTTAAATTGAAGGATACAATGAAGAACCATCGCAATACGAAGAAAAATGTGTTTTGCTCGCGCCATTTTCTTCGATTTATGAGAAATTTCCTTGTACGACCGTAAAAGTCAAGGACATTTAGGACCACACAAATATGCCTGTCGGACACTTATATTTCCTATCTATGTTTAAACAAGGTAGGTGTAACACCAGACCGTGTCTTGTCGTAACAGGCTTCGCGATGCTGTGCCAGTCACGACAATCCACGCCTGGCGTTTACACCTACCTAGGCCTGCGGCGCTTACCGCTTGCCTTCGGCAAGCTGTCACAGAAATTTGTGTGAAGGCAATGAGAAGACCACTTTCTGGTAAAGGTTTCAAGTAAAAAATAAGAGCAGACCTATCGAAAAAATTTTCAGTCCTTCGACCCCCTCCGAAGATCCTGATCTGGCCAACTCGTGCAAGCGGCCGATGTTGACGAAACCGGGTCCATCGAATCAATCTGGTCGCCCCGATACAAAAAACACTGCTACATGCCGTGCTAGCACAAATTGCGGCAGAAATCCTCCTCCCGCACATGTAAACCATGCCCTTTTCTGCCGTTTCTAAAGTGTTTTTTGGCGGTTTCAACAGCTGGAATTGAGATCAAAAGACGAGGGGCAAACAACTTGGATTTAGGTGTACATTTTCCGTGAAATAACGGTGAAATAACGTTGAAATAACGCTAAAATAAGGGCGAAATAGCGTGAAATAACGGTGAAATAGCGCGAAATAACACGAAATAACGTAAAATAACGTTGAAATACCCTTGAAATAACGTTGGAATAACAATGAAATAACGTGAAATAACGTGAATTTGAAATAACGGCGTACAAATTTTGACGGAGTTGTTTGCCCCTCGTAAAAAGATGAATTTTGGTGTGGGGGCGAGCGAAGAATGTACATAATGATCATGAAAAATCTCATCCGAATCGGCCGAGTCGTTCAGGAGTAGTGCGGACAGACAAACACACACACACACGCACACATACACAGAAAAGACTTTCCAGCCCCACCCGGGTAACAGCGTTCGCTATCGCTCAGCCAAAAAAACCACGATAACAGTATTTAATCTGGTTTCAAATCAAATGCCTTAAGGGGAGGTTCTGGTGAAAATCTTGCCATTTTCCAAGTGGATCCCACAGTCATAATTTGTTCGGAAGATAAAATTTTTCATTGAGGAGACTAAAATTTGACTTTTGAAGGCACATGCCAGGCTGTAAACCCAGTCGAAGAGTCTTTTTGAGCCTATTTTGGCTGTATCTTAATAAATCTCCTTGCGCATACTATTTTGTCGTAAAAGGTTGACCTTGACATTTTTCACTTCTTCGATTCATTTTCAAAAGATTCCGGCATGCATAGCTCAAAACTTCCATTATATTATTAATTATTAACTTTTTAAGCTGAAAAGTCCCTAAAATGTGTCTATTTTGTACATTTTTGATCAATTATAGTGAAATGCTTGGTTAGAAAGCTTGTGAATAAAAATGCAATTGACATTTTGAGGTGTGCATGCCAGCATTTTTAAAAAATGAATCGAAGAAGTGAAAAATGTCTAAGCCAACCTTTTACGACAAAATAGTATGCGCAAGAAGATTTTTAAAGTTATAGCCTAAATGGGAGAAAATGGCTCTGCGACTGGGTTCAGGGCATAGAATGTGCCTCCCCAATGAAAAATTTTAATAAATACTTGATAAGACATCAAATTTTTTACAAATTTTCACAGTGGGACCTATTTAGGAGAAAATAGCATTTTCACCAGAACCTCCCCTTAATAGATCAGTTTTGAAAGCCAGTGGCGGCTTGCTGGCCATTCCTTTCCTCGCAAGTGGGTGAGTTTCTATTAATAATTAACACGTACCATTTCTTTGGCCTTGACTGCACACTCCTGTATGACTTTTCTCACGATCGTGTCGGTTTCCTGCTTCAAGATAGGGAACTTTTCCACCTTCTTGGGGAGACTGTCCTCGGAGACAGCCTGCAGCTCATCCATGACCAATCTGACGCAGCCGATGGAAAGTGGCAGCATCTTCTCTATGAGTGGTTTCATGAGCGCCTCGAAAGCATATAGCGATACCAAGATCGGAGGGCGAGTCCCGTCGGCGTTCCGGATCGCCATGACAACTTCTTCAACGCAGTACTTATCGCAAGGAGAGACTTCTTGAAGGGACTTTTTCAGTTGGTTGAAAATGTGAGAAACGTGAGCGCCACCAAACCTGCACAGAAATGTGTGGAGATGAAATGCAGAGTCTGAAAGCGCGTATCAAGCAATACTGTATTCAGTGCCTTACAGTGCTGCGCGCTCAATATTTGGCGTCTGGGATTCTAGTTTCCTGCAAAATGCATCAGAAAATTGAGCAATGACATCTCGCAAGAATTCATCGGAGTCGTCCACTTGGCTCCCGGTAACCTCCAGCTTATTTTCACAATCTTGTATCTGCCTCTGCACTTTGACCTGAAAGAAGCAAATTCGCAAAAACAAAAGGTGTTGCGAATACGACCACTCTACCGACAAAATTTGAGAGGAGAATTTTCAATATTCACCTTTACACTAGGAAGACACTTCTTCACATGGTCCAGAAGTAGGCTGCTTAGTTCTTTCAGGAGATATGAAGTTCCCATTCTTGATGCCAGATCAGGATACTTTTGCTTAAAAAAGGCACTCTCCTTTTTCAAACATTCTTCTATAGGCTATCGGAAAGAGACGAGGCTAAATGTTAATTGCGCAGTAATGCCCAACGAGCTGACTGGTTCATTGTGGGCAAGAACCGAATCCTAATCTAAAGTACACCGTCAATCAAAAAGTCACCTGACTTTTGTGGATGGCTACAACATCGCACTTAACTACATTATTTCATTCCACATCTGAATGCATGACAGTCAATATCTCATGAGGGATACAAACATGCAGTAAACTTACCTTTTCGTTGTTAATGTCCTTCTGAGATCTATTCACAACGCCGATTATCCCAAGTTTAAGAGAAACCGACTTTCCAGTCAAAATATCGTACGCGTCATCACCTGTAACAATCATTCAAACCTGAAACCACGAGTTACATTGAATGGACTCCGTCCCACGCCCGGAGTCGGGGTTTCTCCCGCGTGGAGAAGAATCTCGGAAAGGTGTACAGTTAGCTCTATAACGTAAATACTTTATCTAGAAACTCGTGTTTTCCATTTTGCGCCTAATTTCCTAGTAGTTCTAAAACTATGCACAGTTAAATAATCTCCTGGGGTTCTCGGAATTTTGTTCAATTCCAAGAAAATCTCCTGAAATTCTCAGGGATATAGGTCAATTCCCAGGAGGCGATTTTGCCCAAGCCTTACCATCCCCCCCACCATGTCCACCTTAGTGACCACACCGAGCGTTCGTCGACCTTCGGGGGTCCACCTCTCTTGCAATCCTCAGACAGTCGTTGGTTACCATGTCCACATTCGCCGCCACAATTGCAAGAATGATGCTTAGTGGCCGCTGAATGTATGATAGGATGAGCTGTTCTATTTGCTGCGAAATGTCATCCGGCTGGCCGTCCACAGGCACCTGAAGGAAAGCCAAAGCCTCCACGTGAAACAGTGCTGTCAAAAATGACCGAGGGGCAAACAACTAGAATTTTGGTGTACATTTCACTTGAAATACACTCTCCGACTCGTATTGACTTTTTATCTCTTGCCATAAAGGTTTTTGTGCAAACGTAATATGTACTATTTTCTTTGTGGCTGTGCACTATTTTGTTCATTGTATAATGTTTTTAGTCCATTAAACAGGACTTTTTGTCATTTGCAATGTACTTTTCAATTTCTACATGATCTATTCACAATTATATCCTTAAAACGATCAAAATTGTGCATAGTAAAGGAGAAAATAGTATATTTTATGTTTGCTCAAAAAACGCAATAAGCAAGAGAGAAAAAAGTCCATAAAGGTCTGAGCGTGTAACGTGAAATAATGTGAATTAGGAACGAGGGGCAAACAACTTCGTCAAAATATGTACACCGTTATTTCAAATTCACGTTATTTCATTGTTATTTCAAGGGTATTTCAACGTTATTTCGCGTTACTTCATGGTTATTTCACCATTGTTTCACGTTGTTTCACGGAAAATGTACACCTAAATTCAAGTTGTCTGCCCCTCGATTTGAAATAACAGTGTACAAATTTTTACCAAGTTGTTGGCCCCTCGAAAATGTCTCATAAGGTTATCAAAAATTGCAAAGAACATTCACTTAAACGAAAAGTTGTGGAGAAATGTGTTATCTAAGAACACAATAATTTCCTTTGAATTCTTGTGGATCTTCTACCGTAGGGGCACTTTAAATGAAAGAGTCATGATCAGGGCTGAAATTTTGGGTGAGAAATTCCTTATCATCTAAATTTGGGTGAGGTTAGGTTAGTTTTCTCATACCAACAATGAAATCTTGAAACGGAAGAACAATGAGTAAGCCCTAAAAACAGCTTCTGCGCATGCGCAGACGTTCCCGCACCGCACCACCCGGTGCGAATGCGCAGAGGTTTCCCCACCACCAGGGCTTCCGTCTGTTCGTCATCTTCCGTTTCAAGATTCATTGGAGTACCCTTACTCGAGTGATAACGCCCAAAATAGGGTATTGATCAAGATTCTTTCATTCTCAGTGGTTTACAGTCATGTCCGTGAACCTTATTGGTCGAGAACACTGTAAGTCCTACGGAGAAGATTGATAAGAGGCTACAAAAGATGTTAAAATATGCATGGAGAATCATGGGAAATAAGTAACTTTTCCGTAGTGTTTTGCCGCAGTGTTAGCGTTCGTAACTAAGTAAATGTACTTTCAGTTCGGGAGAATTTTCAATGTTTAGATAATATAGTCAGGGTTGTTAACGTTAATACAAATATTATCACAATAACGTTAACTAAAGCGCCATTAACGTTATCACGTTAACGATAAGCGCTTCTAAAAATTAAATACGATGACACGTGCATTTTTAGGTAGCACCTTACGCGTTGTTGCACACGAATTCGTACATTTCGTGCAAAGGTATGGAATCCGGACAATTCGTCCCCGAAAATTCGTTTCCGGTGAAATTCTTTATCCCTCAAATCTAGATTCTACAAAGCAGTTTGACAGGTTTCAAATCATCAGAGCTAATTCCAAACTTTCTTGTTCCCTGGACATTTCACCAAGGAATAATGACATTTTTACATCGATAAACTGTGCTTCATTTCCGGGAATTGAGCACATGAAAAGGGGTCCAATCACCCACTGAGTAGCGGTCCACAGACCACAGGTTTTAGACTGCTCGTGTAAAAACAAGTAAAGACACCTTATTTACCTTGGTGATTCCAGGTAGGTCGACTAGAGTCAAGTCCAGTACATTTAGGGGAGAATATTTTAACAGTGATAGGATCGTTGCAAATGTTCTTCCCCGGTCGCTAGCTCATCTGTTTCATGTTGGATTTCATCGCAACCTGTCCATCTTAAAATTTTTCCAGGAACCTTAGGAAACTCTGCCCATCTCCAGTGGCCGGAACACCTGCAATTATGGGGGACAGAATATTAATTCCTATGCAATCCCGTTCGCTTTCACTGAATTTCTATGCTTGAGCGGATCGAATAGGTATTTTAACGAATCCCTGGCCCGGAAGTCAAAGAACAAAAGTAAGAACCAAAACGGCTTCTGCGCAGACGCTGCCTCAGAGTGGAGGGGGGACGTCTGCGCATGCGCAGAAGCCGTTTTGGTTCTTACTTTTGTTCTTTGACTTCCGGGCCAGGGATTCGTTAAAATACCTATAAGATACTTGTGCTCCGAACAGAGAGAGGAAAAATTAAGTGACGGCAATAGCGTGTTAAGATTGTAAATAAGAAATCAGGAATTCACTGATACGGGAATCCTGACACAGCGAAAATCAGCGGCCCGACAGTAGAAAGCCACTTGAAAATGCTTTCTGTTCAAGACAAAGTACAAGGATTTGAACCCACTCAAAACTATGTTCCAAGGATTTTTCTTTATGTTACTAAACAATAGTAATACTAAGCCGTCTGATTTGTGGCGCTAACTTCCCATCATAATACAAAACATATTAAGACACAGTACAAAGACGTGAAAAAAAAAAAACACCACCGGAAAATGTTTAGACGCTATTTCTTTTGTACTAGAAAGAAAACTTCATTGGTGAAACAAAGGCATTAAAATTATGCCCTTCCCAAGGGCATAAATCGTTTATGCCTTTGGGAAGAGCATTAAAATTTTGCTTGAAATTCCTACCATTTACGCCCTGCTTAAGGGTATAAAACGATTTATGCCCTTGGGAAGGGCGTAAAAGAGTATTTATGCCCTAAAGGGCGTAATTTTTATGCCTTTGTTTTACCAGTGTTTGTATTACAAAACACAAAGTTTAGTAAAACACACACGCAAAAAAATATAAATCAGACCCAAGCTAATTTTTTTAACAGCAAAGAATTAGCTGCACAGCTAAAAAAGTGGTCCCGTAGCTAGCAACTCTAGCTGCGCGCGGCTACTCCGTTAGCTGAGTGTTTGAAAAATAACCGCGTTTTGAAATGGCGAATGTGTTGCCGGATTCAGCTATTTCCGCCTCAGTGGTGCTAATCGAGTGCCGCTAAAATCCGTCTGCTCTACTGCAAATAACGCTAGGACCGGAGCTCGAGAGGTTTACGAGTTTGCACATTTATTTTAGCTGTGCTCGATCTCTTTCTCTCTCCATTCTCTTAGAGATAGCCGCAACGAAGTCTGAGAAGGGGAAGTCAATAATTATTTTCGTGATTTGTGATGTAGTTTGGATTGGTTGTTGTGGCTGTACTGCAATATCCCCCGCGGTTCTTATTCGCAGATCGTGACCATTCGTGACGACGAAATGTCTCGAAATTATTGTGATATGTTTAATAGCTCATTTGGTAGGATTTCGCGGCCGACCACTCGCCATGGCAGACCATTTCGTCTCGGCCAAGCTCCAGGAGTGGGGGCTTGCCCACCTCCAAGACGAGTTCAGAGGTAAGTCGCTTTTCCCCTTCCGACGTTTAGGCACGGTGAGTTTTGCCCATGCCAACAGGTTCCATACCGTTTAGAAACGTGTAATCTAACCATAAATCCCGGTTTTTCATAACGCGTGGAAAGCATTTATGTCGCGTTGTAGAATAGTCCATGTCGTCTTTGTCATGGAACTGCTTACCGACTCTCACAGTGACTTTACGGTAACATAACCTCTTTCACCCATGTGATCATGAGGGTTATAAGTCTTGGATTACAGCTGATTTATTGATTCCCGACGGGCATGATTTCAGGAAATTACGTTGTCACAACGTGTTTTACGTTGGCCTTCGTTACGGGCCGTTTTCGTTGTCTGGCGTCGTAGAGTCTATGTCACTTGTGGTGCTTGTAGAAAGCCAACCGTTCTACAAGGACTATCCTTTTAGGTAGAGGTTCAGTCTTCGGAGCTGCGTGGCTCCGTCAACGACTTAGCATCAACGTTGCGGCGGTTGCCCTCGATTGGTTGCCTCAGCGCCGCCTCGCTACGTCATATCAACGTGACAGCCACGCCCTTTAAAAAGAAGGGCATGTCACGCCGGTGAACTACGATAAGCCAACCATATTCCCGTAGTTGCACCAACGTAGCCGCGCTTCGTCGAATCGACGTCGCGCTGACACGTAAGTGCACGTCAAAATAAAAGGCGATGCAGCAGTGACAAGCCATGTTGGGCTAACCACATGCTCGTAGTAGCACCAACGCAACCGCGCCACGTCGAATCGATGTCGCGGTGACACGTACGTCCACGTCGAAATAAATAGCGATCCAGCAGTGACATGCAACGTTCAGCCAACCGTCCTGGGCCGGTTTCCTCTACGTAGCTTTGCTACGTGGCCACGAGGTAGCCATAGCAACCGTGGAATGCAAGTACGGCCTACCTCGGCCGGCTTCGTAGCGTCAACCGTCCTCCGCCCGTTGCCTCTACGTTGCTTTGCTACGTTGCTGCAATGTCACCAGGCACCCTGATGGCAACCGCTAAAAGCAGGTACGGCCTACCTCGGCTGGCTTCGTAGCGTCAACCGGCCTCCGCCCGTTGCTTTGCTACGTTGCTGCAATGTCACCAGGCACCCTGATGGCAACCGCTAAAAGCAGGTACGGCCTACCTCGGCCGGCTTCGTAGCGTCAACCGTCCTCCGCCCGTTGCCTCTACGTTGCTTTGCTACGTTGCTGCAATGTCACCAGGCACCCTGATGGCAACCGCTTAAAGCAGGTACGGCCTACCTCGGCAGGCTTCGTAACGCCAACCGTCCGGCGCCGGTTGCCCCTACGTTGCGGTGCTAGGTCGCTGCAATGTTACCAGGCGCCCTGATGGCAACCGCCAAAAGCAGGTACGGTCTACCTCGGCAGGTTTCGTAACATCAACCATCCGACACCGGTTGCCTCTACGTTGCTGTGCTTCGTGGCTGCAACATAGCCAGGCGCCCTGATGGCAACCGTTGGAAGCAGCTACGGCCTACCTCGGCAGGCATCGTTATGTCAATCGTCCACCGCCCGTTGCCGCTACGTTGCTTTGCTACGTTGCTGCAATGTCACCAGGCACCCTGATGGCAACTGCTAAAAGCTGGTACGGCCTACCTCGACACGTTTCGTTGCGTCAGCTGTGCTGCCCAGGTTGCCTCAACGTTGCTGTGCTACGTCGCTGTAATATTACCAGGTGCCCTGATGGCAACCGCCAAAAGCAGGTACGGCCTACCTCGGCAGGCCTCGTAATGTCAACCGTCCGGCGCCGGTTGCCTCTACGTTGCTGTGCTACGTCGCTGCAATGTCACCAGGTGCCCTGCTGGCAACCGCTAAATGCTAGTACGGCGTACCTCGGCGGGCTTCGTTGCGTCAACCGTCCTGCGCCCGTTGCCTCAACGTTGTTGTGCTTCGTGGCTGCAATGTCATTAGGCACCCTGATGGCAAGCGTCCAAAGCTGGTACGGGCTACCTTGACACGCTTCGTTGCGTCAACTGTCCTGCGCCCGTTGCCTCAATGTCGCTGCGCTGCGCGCAAAAAGGTAGCCAAGCACCGTGTAGGCAACTGTGGAATGCAGATACGGCCCACCGTGACACGCTTCGTTGCGTCAACCGTTCTGCGCGCATTGCCTCTAAGATGCTGTGCCCGTTGCCTGTGCAACGTCGTTGGAAGGTAGCCAAGCACCGTGAACAAGGGTTGACCACCCACAAAAAAGAATCCAGCCACTTTTCTGCAGCTTCATCCCTATCGCAGTTCAAATTCTGAAATTTGGCAGGTTTACAGGCCTTAGGGAAAAGAAAACCTGGGTTAAATATTAAGGGGGCAATACACTGAAAATGGCCCAAAACTGAGTTGTGTGATTGCTTCCATACGCGTTGTTGTGCGTTGTTCAAACTTTTCATGTGTCAAGGCCTTTAAAACAGAAGCATTTTAAGCCCAGAATGGCGTCGATCGGACGACAGGGAGCGGAGCAGCGCCCAATCAAATTTTCGTCAAAAGTCGAACTGGCGGGCATCCCTCAGTCCGCAAAAATAAAGATATTTCAACCCCGTTTGCGCCAAAATGAAGGTAATTGAAGCGGCTATAGCTTGAACTAGGATTATGAAGATCAAACAATCAAAAGTACAAAAATTTACGAAAAAAAACCTGTTTTGATCATTTTAACAAAATCTTCAAAAAGTGTTTTTGGATGAAATTTTGTACTTTGGGTTGCTCGATGTTCATAACCCTTGTTCATGCTATAGCCGCTTAAATTACCTACATTTTGGCGCAAACGGGGTTGAGATATCTTCATTTTTGCGGACTGAGGGATGCCCGCCAGTTCGACTTTTGACGAAAATTTGATTGGGCGCTGCTCCGCTCCCTGTCGTCCGATCGACGCCATTCTGGGCTTAAAATGCTTCTGTTTTAAAGGCCTTGACACATGAAAAGTTTGAACAACGCACAACAACGCGTATGGAAGCAATCACACAACTCAGTTTTGGGCCATTTTCAGTGTATTGCCCCCTTAAAATTCGAACCGCAAATTCGAATGAGCCACGGGCCCGGGCCTGCCAGCTTGGTGCAAACGCTCAAAATCCGCCGTTTGCGAAGCCGTGCACTGCAAACCTAACTGTCTACTAAGTACACACTTACAAATGCATGCTTGCAAGTACACACTTAAACGCTCAAAATCCGCCGTTGACGAAGTCGTGCACTGCAAACCTAACTGTCTACTAAGTACACAGTTACAAATGCATACTTGCAAGTACACACTTACAAACGCATGCTTGGCCAAGTACACACATACAAATGCATGCTTGCAAGTACACACTTACAAACGCATGCTTGAAGCATGGAGTTATACGGCGTCAAGCATGCATTTGTAAGTGTGTACTTAAGAGAGGTTTGTAGTGTGCTGCTCCCATCTAATTGCAGTTCAAATTCTGAA